CCTCATATAAATGGTGGCTGACTTCGACAGATTTTCTAGTGTAGTGTTTAGTCAGGTGGAAATCATACGAACAAATGAAAGACAAAATAAATACTGTAAACAAAAAAAAACTAGCTGAAGCTGAATTATGGGCTTACAAGATGATATTTTCGTGAGTTTTGGTGCAAAAATGTTTTTCTTTTTTTTTTTAATTTTCAAGAATTTCAATAATGTGGAAAAATTCAAATAAAATAAACATTATTAATAATATTCTATGTAGGAGTGTGTTGATCATTTTCTTAATTATTGCATGCTTAAAAGCCGTCGTCACGACAACTGCAAGTAAAAATGTTTCAGGTATGGTTGATTCCCACGATACACGAGTTCTCAGCCACAGGCTAACAGGACTGTTTTATGACGTTATTTGGAGAAGGTAGGAGGGTGGCCATATCGTATGTTTGTACCTGTTTGCAGATCAATTCTAATACTAACTTCAAAATGTTTTTTTTTTTTAATGGAGGATACAAACAAAATCAAATTGCACTATAAAACCTCTAGAAAAATGGATACTTGTGTTCTACAATGAAGGCCTCGATTTTCTGCAAAATATCCGTCGAAATTGGCTCATATTTTCCAAAAACAGGGATGGATTTCTGGGCCTAATATTTTACGCGGAGAATATTTTACAGCCTCACACATCCTCATTTCATTTATTACAAAATAAATAAAATTGCTTACCTCTCCCAGCACTGTAGGCCTAATATAACTCTGAGGGTGGGCCGAGGGGACAAATTCCTTCGTGAGAATCTCTGAGATGGCAAAATTTTTGAGACTGGAAAATGATTCATTTATAATCCCTAAACCCTCAATTTTTAACCCCAGTTTTATAAGAATCAGATTTTTATATGCACATTACCTCCCATCACTTAGAAGTGAATGATTTTTTAATTACTTTAAGAACTTTAACTCCCATTTTAACTAGCCTTTCTAAGTCTGTCTAGATTGCCTTCTCCACACGCGCAAACAAATTAGACTAGGCTTTTTTTTAAGTCGGCCTAATGGCTGCTGTTCATATTCATACGCGAAAGTAATTACTAGTCTTGTAGTCCAGACATTTCATGTAGTCCAACTCAACAAATCAACTAAAGGCTGTGCACCTAAAGTATTTAAATATGTCTGATATTTATAGACTAGACCAGTGCGAATTTATATTGTAAATAGACGAAGATCAGCAGGCCTAGACGGCTAGCAGGTATGATATCGTGCAAAATATGTGGCTGCTGTAGGTCTTAACGACAGATCTAGCTAACATTTAACAAGACTTCATTTTCAATCTTTACTGCAGAAAATACTGTAACAAATTTTATATTGAGTTATGCCTACATTTTTTCTTTTAAACCATCCATAAACAGCGGGAGTGTTGGCGACCCAAAGTTGATGCACGCAGTGCGGTGCGTAACCATGGCCTAGTCGGTTTTCTGTTTGAGATCTCTGTGAGCTAACAATTTATTAATAAATTATGCTGCGTATTGTCGAGTTGGACTATTTATAAGTACTGTGAAATCATTACGCATTACATGGTGAAGTAGCCTATTCTAAAAGTCCCTGTCCATAGACAAGTGGTTCCTAAAATTCTTGTTGTCTGACCGTGAAATACACTTGTCCCGGGCGTCGGGCAAGTGGGTTCGCTCATGCCTGTTTTCGAAATTTCTACTCATTCAAGGTCAACCTAGCACAAACCATCCTTGATGACTGTTAAATGAATGTATTATGATAACTTTTTGGAGTATCAGTTTTATTTCCCTGTTAGGAAAACAATGGCTACAATCAGTTCCTTGTGATTCTAAATATAGCAATATTTTCTAAGAGACATACTGTATATACTTAAATTTATAACAACTGCACGGCAAGGAAACAATAAGAATATTCAATAAAAAGCTACTTTGTTACTAAAAATAGGAGGCAGAAGTCAAACATCATTTGTTCTCTGCCATTGCCCATTGAAGGGAAATCAATAACTAGCCTAGAAATTCTTGGGTTTCCAATTGATGCAAACATATAACTTCTGTTCACTTAAATTTTAAGTAAATGATGTTATGCTGTTTATTAGGCATCATGCATTTTCAGGTGGCACCTTGAATATTGTAATGCAGAGATGCTAAAATTGTTAACATAATAAAACCCAAAAAATATTTTTTAAAAAGCCTTTAAAAGCTCTTGTCTTGTAGTCCGATCACATTAAGTTCTAGGGAATTGAACCCCATCTGGCACCCATGAAAACTATATTAGGGACCCTTACTATAATCTACAGTATAAATGCAATGATTTGCTTGTTGTACAGACCAGGTATGTTCTTCAATTGTTTACAGAATTCCATAAATATAATTATAATAATAATAATATTGAGCATTTATACAGTGCTCTTATATTGCTGTTTCACAGCGCTGTAAGACCAACAATATATTGAAACAAGTAAGTTTTAAGAAGCCGCTTAAATTGCGTAAAGGACTTAGACGAACGGATGTGAAATGGAAGCCGATTCCAGATCAGTAGTGCTTGTGCAAAGAAACGTTTTGGATCTGATTTTTTGGTGGGTTTTTGCAATGGATAACGTTAATGGGTCCATTTCGGAATGAAGTCCTAGACATGACGGAACATGAGTTGATATAATGCTTTGTAAATATGTATGAGCAGTGCCATGAATACATTTATAGATTATGGTTGGTATTTTGTAGATGATAACGTTGTTGTATTGATCATATTTTTTTTAAATTATGAACTAGCTTAGCCGCGCTGTTCTGCAAAAGCTGAAGACATTTGATTACTTTTTTTTATTTCTAATATTGGAACTGCTAAATCATTTTTGCATTATAAATTTATTATGGACCCACAAAGCATATTTTTTTTATCTCATTAAGAAAGTATTATTTTATCCAAACTTCTAAAGGTTTAATTGATCAGACTATAATTCCAATCCAGCCCATATTCGATCATTCAAAAATGAAAGTGGGAGATATGATTCCTTTGTATAAATATTTTTTCCGTGTATACATTAAGTATATCAGGAAGAATTTGCTTAATGTATGTAGGTTATAGTGTTAACTTATGATTATTAATAATAATAATCATAATGTCATATTATTAGGCGCACATATCTATCTCTTGGTAGAGCTGCTTGCGGCGCTGTTTATTATTGTTGTATAATTAATAACTTTATTATCATTTCATTCTTATCCATGTGTGACATGACGCACCGATTAAACTAGGTCCAATTTTGAGGATTTAAAAGAAGAGGTGTTTATAGTTCTAAAAAAAGTTCAGAAGCCTATTAGCCCTCACACAACAATCAATTTTCGTATTATTTTATCCCTTTTCATTCAAAGCTTTTGATGAAATTTTATGCAAGTCCTAAGATTAAGAATGGAATTTGTTGTTAGACTTGCAAATCATTGATAAAATGCCTACAATCATGATATGAAAATGATCGAAGCTGGCCCAACCATGTAGAGGTCCGAGATGGGTTTCATCTGAGCCTCGTATAAACATAATAATGTGTTGATGTGATGTCCTTATTAGTATTAAAAATGTTTTAAATTATTTTATGCAATGATATTATGCTGTAAGTTTGGTTTCGTAATTCCTCTTTTTTTTCGTACAATAAATTTTTCCTATGTAATTTTTTATACCACTAAATCTTTTGCAAGCCAGTTGTCATGTGCACTGAAGCGTTCTGTGTACATTATCCGTGTAAATAATGCAAAAGGGTCTACATTGTCTTCATCCTGATTATAAATGTATAATGCCCGGTAGGTTGTAATGTAGTACTGTATGCTGTAATGTTAAATGTATTACAATATTAGCAGTATCCCCAGGGATAGGAGGAAACCTGGCTTGCATGTTGTGCGTGTTTATTTATGTATCCAACAGCAATAATCGGAAGCGCTGTCAGACCAACTTTGATTGTATACACCGCTGCCTCATTAATATTCAAACTGGTATTAATATGCATTCATATTAATTGGTTTCAGGATCATCAAACGATTTGGATTGATATTAATTATTAACTTCATGTTCATGTATTTTACACTTCTTGTTTGTTTACACTTCTTGTTTGTTTACACATTGAAACATTTTGGTTATTATTTGCTGCTGGAGATAATGATAATAATGATAATGATGTTGAATAAGAATGAAATACAATTGAAAATTATAAATCATTGTCAGTAAGTGTTTTACCTTCTTCCTGTATTTCATTTGCAATATTTGTTCCACATCAATGCAATATCTCGTAGCCTCTTCATCAAATCATTCTTATATATAAAACAATTTAAAAAAAAGAGTATAAAATAATAATAATAATATAATTTACAAAATATTTATTATTTATAAATTATTTCATATATTTTTGATTTGGCCATATTAATTATGAAGGTGGTAAAGGTTGCTTTCATAGCTATTATGGTTGTGAAATCAACTAATTACAAATGTTTACCATGTCTATTTGTCTAAGAACATTTATAAATTATTTCAGATGTTTAATTTAGCCATATTTATTATGATTTTAAAGGTTGCTTTCATAGCTATGTTACTTGCTATTGTGTTTGTGAAGTCAACTAATACAAACATTTGTAATTAAATATAGTTAACTATGAATATTTGTATTTGTATTGATAATAATTAATAAAAACATTTATAAATGGTTAATTCAACCATAATTATTATGTTTATTTTAAAGGATATTTTAATAGCTATATTATTTCCTATTATAGCTGTAAAGTCAACTATTAACACAAATGTTCATAATAAATATAATTAATCATGAATATTTTTCGAGTTGACTTTATAAAATTTATATTAATATTTTTGTTGATGTAACTTGTATAATTATATTTACAATATTCAATATGAAAAAATTTGTATTTTTAATTTTTTTTCCCCCTAGGAATTCTGGGAACATACAATTGCATTGTGGGAAGACAAGGGTGTGCAAATGTGCTTTGACAGATCGAATGAATATCAGCTTATAGATAGCGCAAAGTAGTAAGTAGAACGTAATTGTGCATGCGATACTGTGGTCTATAATTAACGAAATTTGATCAATTCTTGATCAAAATTGGAAATATGTAATATATTGTGCACAGGTATAATGAGTGTGGTACGGTTGATTCTTTTTTCTTTATCAGTAATTTAGTTGTCGTATCAGACTTTCGTTTTAATAGCAATTAGTTTCAGAATGAGGTCATGGCAAAGACTGATTTTGTTTTTTTTTAATCAAGTAATAAATACTAGTAATGATGGTAATATTGATAGTAATGGTGGTGATAATGATGAGGTGTGGATAAATAATAATGCAAAATTTAGTGCATATTGCGATAAACTGCCTCTATACGCTGTACTTTATTACCCCCGGCCATTGGATGAAACACCCATGGATCGCATCCTCCACTCTTTTGGGGAGCACAGTTCTATAAGCAGCTAGATCCTACCAGATACTCGCGTATATTATACTACTTGGTTGGAGAGAGACAAACGTAGATAAAGTGCTTGTCCAAGGACACAAACGAAATGCACAGCGAATGTTTCAAAAGGTTAACGTCCGAAATACAACCATTGCACCAACCGCTTCCACAGTTAATGGATTTTAGTGATGATTATGATGGCGATGATAAAATGTGGTTGTGGTGAAGTGATTTATTTATTTTATTTTTTTTTTTCATTTATTTATTTCGCCTCAAGAAATGTCTTGGGGCTCCTGAAGTAGCCAATGTTTCTATGACTCGGCGAGCCAGTCCCAAACGTTACGAAGAACAAAGGCAATATAATGAAAAGTAGTTTGTTTTATTGATATTGATGAAAATATTAATGTCAAGATTAAATACACAATTCATGGACACAGAACAATCATCTCAAATTTTATGCTTCAAAATGTAAGGTACGTACTGACAAAGTGTATGTCTACTCTGTTAAAGACAAACTTCCATTCAGCTTATTTGACATTAAATTTTCAATATTTTTTATTCAATCTCAAATGGCAGGATTAATCTGAGTTACATGAGAATACATTAAAACTCGGAAAAACAAAACCGAAAAACACAAAGAATAGCACAAAAAGATTACATATTTGAGAACATTAAAATTAAATTCAGACCTATAAAACTAGAAATATGATAAAATTAATTAGATTAAACATTAAAATTCTATTTACATAATACAATATCCAAAAAACACAAGGAAATATCAATTAGATTATGATTTATACAAAATTACACATTGGTTGGTATAAAAAATATAAACAGTTTACATTAAATTGACTAAAAAAATAACTTTAAGATTTCATATTAAACAGGGGAAATAGATGTGTTGAATCAATATATTGAATCAAGAGCCCCGCCTAGATTCAACTACTGTATAGGCAAAATTTGGAAACCGCAATAACAAAATTGACAGTTACCGTATACTAATTGTCATTATTTATTTAGCAGCCTAGTGAGGAATGGAATGGGGCTATTGCCAAAGTAAGGCAAAACTTCTGTATACCTTGTTTACTGAACCCACCGCCTGTCAATAATGAAGATTTCAAATAAAAATAAAAGTTTATTTATGGCCAATTAGTGCACCCGCTGGCACGAAAAAATGGCAATTTTAAGAAATGAATACTGTAAATGTTTTTCTTTATTTTTATTATGCCTGCCTCTGCCTTCAATCTCCAAAAGTAAGATGTATGTCAGTATATTTCTTCCCAATTATATCAGTTTAAAGCATTAAACCTTCCTATCACTACTCTGTTTACATTCACCAATAACATTTTATTTTTATTTTCTCCTCTATGATGTTTTTGGCAAACCTATTTGCTAAATAAGAAAACAAAATTTTTTAATTTTATTTTTTTCCCCGCCTTCCTCTGACGAAAAAGGGTTTAAAAAAATGTCTTGCCTGATCAACAAGAAAATTTAATATATATTCAACGTACATTTAATTTGAGGCCTACATTTATGAAAACATACTTAACAACTTTGCTCTATAATTTGTTTATGCAGTGAAGCACCGTGAGTGTTGCTTGTGACTGATTCCAGGGCTACACAAACTGTCATTATTATATTATTATTATTATTGTTATTATAATGGAAGTAGTGCTTGCTTTAGTAACAATAAAAATAATCATTGGAAAAATGAGATGAGTACAAAAACTTATGTAAAAATTAACAAATAAAAACAATTATTGACTTTGAAATTTGCTAAGAATAAGAAAATAAAAGGTGGAGGAGAAGAAAACAAATAAATAATTTTTCACAAAATAAAAATGTAATCGTTGATGAGTATGAATACAGGTAGAATGTCCTGTTGTTTCATTGATTCAGAATGACGTTCATTTGTTCTCTATTGCAGTAGATTCTAGATGCCTAAGGGGTCTAGAATCAGTATGGCATTAGATTGCTTTAACTGTAGTACTGTACCTGTTACCTTTACCAAATTCTCGGAAATTGCATGCTGTGCAGATGCATGGAATTTTGTCTAGGGTAAACTTGGGCCATCTAGGCTGAATTTCACAGGTGATGTTACTGGCTAGCATCGTCTTTCTTCCCTGTGTTTTTGTGTGTCCAGCAGAGAATGTGTTACTTTGCTTAGGCCTAGATTACAGTATATAAAAGAACATTCAACCATGAAGTTATAAATATTCAACCCTGTTGAATTCCAAATTAAATTTAAACTATTTCGCTATCTCCATATCTCCATATTTTAAATATTTATTATCACACAATTTAGATTTATCATTAATACTATCTTGACTTTAATAATATTGATAATTTCTAAAAATTATGCTAAATATATTTTTGAAAATATACTTTAAAATGAATGTACAGTAACATCTCCCAATTACGAACCTCCCTTATACGAACTCTTGATTTTGTACGAACCTAATTTGCTGCGGTTACATCATTATGAACAATCGTTTTTAACTTTTAACATGTAAGTGTTGAGAAATAATTTTAAATTGTTACTTCAGCTATTGAGAAAAAAACATTCAAACCTATAAAGTGGTATAAAACTATGTTTCAAGCAAGAAATATCAATCATTTTCAGCCAAGATATATTTGAGCTGTGCATGCTTGTTCAGGCATACTGTACAGTAAATCTCACTTTTTGATCATTGGGGGCACTATTCTCATGGATTAGCAATTTTTATGAAAAGAATAATAACACTTCTTTTTACCATTATTTGGTCATGTTTTCATTTGGAAATCACTTCAAATGAATATTTCATAGTGAGCACAGGTAATTTTGGCTTCTGTAAAGTATTATTTTATTGCAGAAAACAGTAAAATGCAAGTCATATTTTGGGACAAAATTTTTCTCCCATAGGGCAAGGCTTAGGTCCTACCTAGCCCTATAATTTGTAGCATAACATAGGCCTAGGCCTACCCTCACCACGTTTAGATGCTGAAAATTCAAACTCTGTTGAATTACAAATTTTCTTGAACGCTTTTTGGACGGAGGGGTACGTAATTGGGTAATGTTACTGTATATTCAAATAATAACAAGCCTTTATGTTTGATATGTCTGATATTTGAAAAATCTTTGGGCCAATTGCAAAACATAATCAATGTATATTTGCTAACAACAGATAGGAACCGAACTCCAATTCATGCCTGTCTCTACGTAATTAATCACAGAAGATAATGCATAGATTAAGAAAATTGAATTCATGAATTCATCCATAAGCATGTCTAATGGTTTTCTAAATGAAGGAAGAAATAAGGTTGAGACATAGCCTGAATTTTCCCAATGATATCTATGAAAAAGGGAGCAGTAGATTGGTTTTTAAGATGGTTGCCTTCCAACTTTGAGTACTGAGTTAAAATCCGATCATACTCAGATTTTATTCTCACAACTAAAAAACTATCTTTGTACTGTATACAACTTTATTTTTGTGGAAAAATAATGTTAACATTAAAAATTATGAATACCAATTTTAATTTATATATTTTTTCAAAGATCAATTGCAAAAAATTATATGTAAAATTGTATCTCATTTTGGCATAATAAATATAAGAATATAATTTTTTTTTTCATAACATATTTTATTATCAAAATGAAATTTGATATTCATATTTCATTGGACATATTCAAATCTACTACTATCTGCTAGACTGATAATAAATTTGTATTCATATACCATCCAGTATTGATTTTGTGTTCTAAAATAAATTTCTATTAATAGATTCAAAGATAAAAAAAAAAATTGAAGCAACAACACCCAGTACAATCAGGCAAAGTTAAATTTAGTGTTAGTTAATCGTATCGTTATCCCGTCGTTTGAAATTGTTTTTTGGTGACGGGGTTTAATATGCTTATTTGCTTTTTAGTCGTCAAGTAAAAGACCGGTCAACAATACAATGTTAATAAAAAAAAGAAACAAACACAAAATAAACATTGGCATGGTAACAGTAGTCTTTCAATCCAGCCACTGATTGTATAATCAGCAAGGGTATGATCGAAACAACATATTTTTGTTTTTAATTTTTTGTTGATATCAATAATTTTTTTTTTTTTTCAGTTTAAATTTTTTTTAAAATAGCAAATAGCAAAAGAATCCATGAGGCGCCAAAATTTGATAAGGGTGATGGGTATGAAGCTAGGGATTGATTTTATTTGGCCTTTTGGAGTGTGTGGTGTACAGTGTTACTGTGTGGTGTATACCTTGTACAGTATTATCTTTATGTCAGATTATAACTCTGGGCCTCTGACATTTGTAGGTCATAAGTCACCAGTTGATGCTATAAATAGCATGCAGTGCAAGGCCATATATTTGAGCTATTAACACTGTGTGGATTCACCCTTGTACGGGGTCAAGTAGCAGTCATATCAACCAATCAGGAGGAAACTACTGTAAAGGGATTTTTTTTTTTTTTTATAGGAATTATAGAATCTTAGCTATAAGCTGTTAATCTTTCTAGTGTCTGGTCCAAAGCCATACTGTACCATGCACTTTTTAAGTTTTATATTTAAGATTATTATTTTTTATTTTATTTTTCATTGTA